CCAGATTTAAAGTTAGGTAGTCAGTGTAGTTAGGTAAATCGGGTCTAATATGGAGTGAAATCTAAAATGGAGGCCATGCTGGGAATGACTCAGGGAAAACACAGGACAATTCATGGAATGTGAATGAAGTCCCTGAAAGGCCTTAGTCCAAAGTCCACCTGGAAGAAGTATTAATGAATAGCCCACAGCAGATTTGGAGATAGCCCATCCCAGAGAAGTGATAAGCCCATCCCAAAAGGTAATAATTAGGCCCACCTGTGTCCCACCCCTCGGGCCTTCCAACCTACATTGCATCACCAAAACTATAAAAAGGGGAAACAACTGCACTTCCATGGATTCCACCTCTTGGGTCCCCTTCTTCCTCCGGGAGAAGTCTTTTCTGCTGTCCTTTAATAAACTTCTAATCTCTACTCTGACCATGCCTCGGTGTGCTTCTTTGGTGTTATTCTTCAACACTGGGGAAGCATAACACTACCATCCAGCCCAACCCCCAGGACCAGGGGACAGGGACCCAGGGCAACCTCCAGAGGAGACTCCTTCAGGCTCTGCAGCTCACCCGTTTGTGGGGCCCCAAGGCAGGTGCTGACCCCGTAGCTCCAGCCCTGGACACAAACTCACCATTTTTGTCTTCCTTGGGGACCCTGGGTTCTCTTGAGGAACCTCTGGGAACCAGAGATGGAGGGGGCACAGGCTGCTCAGAATCACCTAGGCCTTTTGGGCAGAGCACGAGGCACCCGGAAAGGGAGGAGTGCAGTTGGTCAGGGAGAAAAGCCTGCGAGATTTCCAAAGCCCGCCCTTTCTCGGATCTGATTGGACACTTCCACCCTAATGTCTCTGATGGGCCGCCTCTAGGCATACCTCTGCATTGTGATTGACAGCTGAGTTTATCCAATCACTACCTAAAACTGGCTAGAGTGGCAGATCCTTGGCCCCAGCCCTTTTCAGGTGCGACTTTTTAGCTAGGCTGAGAACTAATCCAGGTGGGAAACCTTTGCTTGGAACCTGGTACAGTTGGTAACATCTGGGATTGAGCTCTAGCTGAGGGAGACTGCTTTCCCAGCATGGGTGATGCCTTGGGTTTTAACCTCACCACAGAAGCAAACAACAATTAAAACAAACCAACAAACAAAAAAAAAGTTACTTGGGGGAGGCGGAGGCAGGAGGAGTCCAAGGTTCAGGTCAAATCTACAGACAGGGAGATCCTAGCTTAAATTAAAATAAAGAGGGTTGGGGATCTAGCTCAGAGGTCAAGCCCCACAGGGATTATCCCACAGAACCTCAACGAAAAAGATACCTATATGCATATATAGTATCAGCTGGTGCGACCCCAGGCAACTTAGCAAGAGATAGTCTCAAAATTTTTGAAACAATATTTAAAGATATCACATATATCACACATGTGTGATATCTAAAAATGAAACGAGTTTGACAATTATTTCAGTAAATCTCCTCACCTGCTGGCCACTGATCTTGAGACAGCCTGAGTAATTGGTGTTGGTAATTGGGCTCAGTGTTCTCTCCCCAGCAGAATGGGGATGGAAGGAAAGCAATGTGCCATGGAAATAAAATGGGTACTTTGTGCTTAATGTAGGTTTTCTACATTAAGACTTTGTGAAGTTTTCCACATGTGGCACACTGACCCAAATTCATTCTACCTAACAATGTCACTCATGGATAATAGAGGCAGGGGGCTAATTAGGAAGAGTCATATTCCCACAAGCTTAGAAGAGTGGCCACATGCCAGTTGAGGGCTGAGAACTCCAGGTGCTTTTTTTCTCCCTCTGTGCTGGGCATTGAATCCGTGGCAGGGGCACTGTAACACTGAGCCACATCCCAGCCCCCTTTTTTATTGTGATACAAAGAAGGTGGGTGGGAGCATAAATGTAATGGGTTTGAGAATAAAAACTCAGGATGGTGACTTCAATTTACTATTGACAAGTGAAGAAGAAGACAAATAAGAAGTTTAGACTGGGCATGGTTGCACACATCTGCAATCCCAGTGGCTCCAGAAGCCAAGGCAGGAGGATCGCCAGGTCAAAGCCAACCTCAGCAATGGTGAGGCAGTCAGCAACTTAGTGAAACTATGTCTCTTTAATAAATACAAAAAAAAAACACCAAAAAACGAGTATTTAACAATACTCGTGATGTGACTCAGTGGCCAAGTTGCTGTGAATTTAATTCCCAGTACCATAAATAAATAAATAAATCCTAATTAAATCATTTGTGTCCTTTTAACTCCCTCAAAAGACATTGAATTACAGAATGCAATAAGTATTCTAGCCAGTTACTGTTTAATCTGGAATTTGACAGCTATATGACATGTAAAAAATAATATGCAAAAATTAAATGAAAAAAAGGATTTACAGCAGTCTGTGTAGGAGGGTGGAGATATATATATCATATAATTTGTTTTTGAAACCAGGGATTACCCTCAGGTCTGCCTAAACACTGAGCCAAATTTTTAGCTCTTTTTATTTTATTTCTTTTTCTTTTCTGTTTTTGTTTGTTTGTTTGTATTGAGACAGGGTCTTGCTAAATTCTTTAGGGCCTCACTAAGTTGTGAGGCTGGTTTTGAACTTGCAATCCTTCTAACTCAGCCTCCCAGGTCACTGGAATTACAGGATGCACCACAGTGCCCGGCAGTGTATTTCTTTAAATGACCCAATGGGAGACAGTAAAACCCAGGTGATGATCCAGAAAAAGGTATACCCAATAGTATTCAGTGAGAAATGAAGGTGGGTAAAAGGACCTTGTGCACCAGAAAATAAAATGCTGACTGTACTGTTTTCTGAGTGCCTTCTCCCACAAACATTTCATCTTGAAAGACCATCAGTAAAACATGTGTCCTTCTCTGTACATTTGTCTCTCAGTCTTTTGTTATAGTTAAAGCTCATTCCAGAGTTTCATAAACTGACTTCCAGACCACTCATGTATAATCAAATCAAGCCTTTATTGAAGCACACCAGTGGCGGCTGACCACAACATAAAGCTGTTTCCCTGATCAGCCTGGAACAATTGCAAGGGTGCTTCTTATAAACCTGAAAACTACAGAAGGGATGTTCGGGGGTTTAGCAATGCAAGCAAGCCAGGTTACAGAAGCAGGAGAGTGCAGTCAAGGGGCAGGAAGCCTAACCAATCACATTAGCCCAATCCCCCCAGTTACTGAAACAGCCTGTTACCCTAGTTACAGAAACAATACCCCATTGGATAGTTCCGTGTTCTTAAAGGTTTCTATAGCAAAAGGAAAAGAACATCTTGCACCAGTCATGACCCTTCTTCTTGGCACAGTTATTTCACAGGATGAAGTCATAAAACAAAATGGAGTCACATTTGCTCCTACTATCACACTTTTAGGGAACAGAAAGATGACAATGGTGGGAACAGAAGGTTAAAAGAATAATCCTATAAAATGAGACAACTGTGCTGACCCCTATTTGCATTTTTTGCTAAAAAGCAATTTACCTTCAACCCTGCCTGGTCTAAGTAGGCAGGTTACATCACATTCCTCAGCAAACTACTTGTGATCTGCATAGGAAATGCAGGCAGGACTCACCCTAAGAGGAATCAGAGTTACTTTGCAGGGAGAGATTTTTTGAGACTTTTCACAGGCCAGATTTTGAAAGATAAGGTTAGTTCGTTGGACAAGAATCCAATGAGAGGTGGCTGGGGTTGTGCCTCAGCAGTAGAGCACTCGCCTTGCATGTGCAAGGCCCTGGGTTTGATCCTCAGCACCACATATAAATAATAAATCAAATAAAGTTATTGTATACAGCTATAAAAAATAAAGAATCCAATTAGAACTGCTCATCATGAGCCAAGGTCACAGCTCCTTTCTCCATCAAAACTGACACTGCTCCAGCCTAGGCAAGCAGAGCCTTCAAGGAATTTTGCTCTACGTGGCATATAAACCATGTCACTAGGATCCCCTATAATCCTCAGGTTTAATGCATCATAGTCAGAACACCCAAGGAATTAAAGGCCATACTAAAAAAACGGGGCAGGGGGAGGAAGGAGACTCTACCCAATCTCCTCTCAATGCATTGAACAAAATCTTATTTATTCAAATTTTCTTTCAATTTCAAACTTTTCCATGGAAACCGCCAGCCACAAACATAGGCCCCCTTCACTGTGCCCTGCCATTTACCTATAATCTCCCAGCTGGATCCCAGCACAAGTGCATGGAATGGTCTAGCGACTCTCCTAAAACTGGGTCCAGGGTTTGTACATGTTGACAGAAGCCTCACCCCATCTGGGTGCCTGCAGTGAAACTGCCTGCCACGTAAATTGGGCTTTGGTCCCTTGGCCACCAAATTAGCGGTGGTCAATTGGGAAGGAGCCCTATCTAAGCTCTTTTCTAATAACTCTGACCTGATTGATCCTGAGGTAGCCGTACAAGGACCACCCGAGCAGGGGAACACCAGCACTCCCACGCCTGCTCGGCCGAGTGCTTTCTCCGTCATTGATAATGAGACCTACAACCAGGACCGTCCTCTCTGTTTTGCTCTTGCTAATGAAACTTTTGTAGATCAATATAACAAGTCCTATGCTGGCTGTCTCTCACTGACACTTGGTAGTTAACGCTACCAATTGCCATAGACACCTCCCCATGGCAATTGCCAGAAACCCTGGCTGCCAACATGCCCAACAACACTCTTTAGAAAGCTCCCCTCTGATAATGACAGCACCCCAAAAAAATCCATGTGTGGCAGCCACACCTTATCTCCTTGGAAAGAGAAATTTCTCTTGCGAAGATCAATACCTAAGCACCTGGGTGGGCACAGCTCCCTGGAATGTAACCTATGTGCCCAAATACTATGTGGGCTACGAAGTAACTGCTACCTGGGACAATCTATCATCAACCACTATGCAGAAAATCAATCTCGCATCACACCAATATTGCTGGCCACTAGACCCTTCAAATAGGCATCAGCAGGCTGCATGAATAGGTCGATAAAGGCCCTAAATGCAACATATGCCTTCATCCCTAAGTATACCCATACCCACTGTGCACAAGCTTGTGTCCCGCCACCCTTGCCATGCTCATAATCACTGCCTCTGATGGTGTAAATATCACTCATGCAGAGATCCCTTGTGCAGTCAATGCATCCTGCTGCCTCCCAACCTGTCTACACCCGCTATAAAAGCTAAATGTGTACTGATCCTCAGATGCCCCCCGCAGCCTGGCTTCCAGTGAACCAGTCCAAGGAGTGGAGGAGTCCATGGGACATGCAGAGGAAGCATCCTCTGAGTGAGATCCTGCACCGGACAAGGCGTGATATTGGCCTCATCATTGCTGGGATTGTTGCGCTAGTGGCCGCCATCGCCGCCACAGCCACTGCCACTGCTGCGCTCACTCAGGGGATCCACACGTGGACACTGGAAACAACGTGTCCCCTGTGTGGCAGCAGCCTTCGCCTCTCAAAATGACTTAAATAAACTGAACTGAACCACTATTTGCCTCATTTAGCAAGAACCAGACCTCCACCAGGAGCCTCGAGGTGTTCTGTTTATGTTGCTAAGGCTCACGGTCACCCTGAATTTCATAGTATTTGCGTCACCCAATACGCTGTATCTGACAATGGAACTTTGCAGTTCTCCACTTTTTCTCAGTTCATGAAGGGCGCTTGGGATGCTCACTGTGTTACGACTGCATGACGTCAGTAAGGCCAGGGTCCAAATCAAGGGGACTAAGTTGTCTGTCTCAACAGCCTCCTCTTTCTTCCAGGGATTGGCTGAACATTGGAAAAACCTGAGAGCCAAGTTACTAACCCTTATAACGCTATTACCCTGGCCCTACTGAGTGTGACAGTAATAATTTTTTTCTTGTGTTGTGAGACGCTTATGCAAGCATTTGAAGGCCACCAAACAAAAATCAGGGATGCTAGCAAAAGTCCTTGTGGCAAGTCTGAGGGGTAGATGTGGGGAGAAGTGCATGGAGAACTGCATACGTGGCATACATGAAGGTCACCTGAGAGGCAGGCCACTCCCCTCCAGCTAGAAGTGTGAGCAGCAGACTGCTCACCCTGTCGGCCCCTCCCTGGGCGTGAGGCCACTTGTTGCAGACCCTGCACTTGCTCCATGGCCTGCTACTTGATTGGTTGTGGCTCTTCAGAGCTTCTTTTGTGCCAGAAGTTGCTCAACATAACAGCCTTGGAATCATCAGTAGGCCAGAGGGAATATTGGGGGCCTACTTTGGTCTCCTAGAGTTGTTCAGAAGTTGTATTGGTGGCTGCGTGTAATGTGCTTAGCTGCTGCCCGAGTGTATACACATGGTAACTGCGCAATAAAATCAGACCTGCTTCCTGCTTGGTGTTTGGAGGTCTTGATTCGTGACTCTCTAGCCACACTGTCCAAGACCCTGTTCCGTGTGCCTCGTTGCTGGATGAGACAGAGCCCACACAAACACAAAGGCCCGGTTTCCTTGGAAGCAAAGTACAGAAGCAAACGCATGGACCCAGACATGGAGCAGTGCACCAGACACACAAGCAGGTGGGGATTGAAGATTGAACACCACGGAGGAGGCTTGTAAAACAGCGGTCATAACGCAGGACGGCCAGCAGGGGGCACTCTGCTCACGGAGAAGTGTTGAAAACAGGCCCCTTGCATCAAGGAGAGGATTCTAAATGCAGGAACCTGGATGAAGCCTCTGCACAGGAGCACAGCCCAGAGAGCAGAGAGTGACTGCAGAGACGTGAAAGAGAGGTCTCAGGGCGTGTTGGCAAGGAAACTGTCCCCATTAAGGGCCTGTAGGCTGCTGGGGATTAAATTGTCAGTAATAGAGATTCATGGAGAGAAGCTACTCAGTCCCTTGCATGTGCAGGTGCGTCTCCCTCAAGTAGAGACACAGAAAAGGGCCAGGTTTTGAGGACTGCGGAGCCTCTGGAGTACAGAATGGAACCAGCGGGTGTCTGGGATGGTGGAGAGGATGACAGAAGGGAAGGGAGATAGGTGGGGGAGCAGGTCTTGGGGTCAGTGTTGGGTGGGAGAGGCAGCCCGGCTGGTCAAAATAATAACCTTGCTTTAATTTGATTTTAATTTGAGCCAGTGGTCTTTATTTGCCTCCTGGTCTAACACCCTCCCCTGCGCCACACTCACTGTTGTTTGTGATCCTAGAAGCTGCCATTGTCCCTGGAGTGAGATGAAAGAGGAATTTTAATCTCTAAGAATCTTTTTAAAATAAGCTGTGTTTCTCCAAAAAGAGAATAGTGAAGGAGGAAGGTGAGAGCTGAAGGGACTCAGGTCGACCAGCAGCCGGGAAGGGCTGGGAGCTGGAGGGCTGTGCCTGTGGCTGGAGGGCACCAGGACAGAGCAGGCTGAGCAGACAGACATCAGTCATGGCTGGGGTCCATCCTGATGGGTGGCTTTTCCTGTCTGAGGTGTAGATCCTCAGGCAGTAGCTGCTCTCTGGATGTCACACTGTCAGGTCTCATTGAGGTGAATGGGTCTGGGGGGATCTAATTGGAGGCCACCTTCTCTCTGCTCTGGAGAGGACAGAACAGCTTATGCCCACCCACACACAGGCCACCATCCCTGGTGCTGTTCACCCCCTGAAGACACCTGGCTGAGTCCTGCTGTTGTCCTCAGTCATCTCTCTGTGATCCTTGTCCCTCCACAGGAGCAACTCTGTGGAACAGGCACTTCCTGACCCTGCTCTTCCAGCCAGAGGGCGCCTGAGCCTGCCGAGGGGGAGGGTTCTGCCATGCCTTGGGGACAAGTGGTCCATCTTGACCCGCCTTTGATCCTTGACCTCTGCAGAGACCCTTGGGAGACCTGTGTCCTCATGCCTGACTCGGAGCCCTGGTTCCACGAGGTGGTGGGCAGAATCCAGCAGGCTCATAGTTCACACCCAGCCCATGGCTGGCTTGCCACATCTCCACATGCTCACCACTCAGAGCTAAGGGACCCTCAGTTCCAATGTGCAGCTCCAGACACACTCAGGTCATTGCACTGGTCAGAGGGCTGCTGGTCACTGTATTAGTCTTCCTGGGCTGCTGTAACCAAACACCCAGCCTGGGGCCTTCAGACCACAGACCCTGACTACACATTGATGACCTCAGGCCACCACCCAAGCTAACTCCACCTCTGCCTGATGGCCAAAGCCAGCTCCAGCCCAGTGGATCTTGGGATAAGGAAAGAGATGGCAGCTGGCCATCGCTAGGAGCCCTGCTTCCTTCCCATCACCCATGCTGTGTTGAACACAAAGCCAGCACATTGGGCAAGCGGTGTCCCCAGTCACCAGCCCACCTTGACACCTCTGAGTTCTTCAGCATCCTCTGGGCTGGGTCACCTTCTTCAGACCCAGCCACACCCTTGACTCTGTTGACTTTGTAGCCCAAGTCCCCACAGAAGCTCCAAGTTCTTAACTTACTAAGTGTCAAGCTTTGAATTATGCAGATATATCAACAAAATTATTACTTTAATTATTATTATGACTATTGGTACTGGAGATTCAACCTGAGGTGCTTAACCACTGAGCTACATTACTAATCCTTTTATATATATATTTTATTTTGACAAAGACTCTAAGTTGCTTAGGGACTTTCTGAGTTGCTGAGGCTGGTCTCCAACTTACAATCCTCCTGCTTCAGCCTCCCAAGTCACAGAATTACAGTGTGCGCCACTTCAAAATAAATATTGACACAGGCACATTAACATAGGTTGTAAATTATAAGGTAGAGCTTATCTGTTATTGCATTATAATTATACTGTTATTATTAAGTAATGAGATTCCATGCTATATTCTCTATTTAACATTCTATGGGTATTCCCTATCTGGAGCAATGAGACACAGCAGAATCAGGGCCCACCCAGCTGCCCCTTCCCACACAACCTCCCTCAAACTCTGCTCCCCAGGAGCCAGCTCCCATGGCCCTAGACCATTTCTAACCCACGATCGTGCTCAGTCTGTTTGATAATCTGCCTAGCAGCACCCAACTTGCTTTCTTCCTGTGTTCTTAGACATCTCTGCTCCCAGGACTGAAGGTCTCCTCAAAAAACATAGTGTTATCTGCTGTGGTGTGGCATGCCTGTAATCCCAGTGGCTTGGGAGGCTGAGGCAGGAGGGTTGAATTTGGGGGCCAGTCTCAGCAATGTAGTGAGGGCCTGAGCAAATGGGCAAGACTCTGTATATAAGATATGAAAAAGGGCTAGGGATGTGGCTCAGTGCTTAGGCTCACTGTGCTCAATCTGCAGTACCAAAAAAACAAAAATAAAATGAAGATAAAACAATCCAAACATCCTACTGGGCTGCTAATCTAGGATAATCTTGGCTGATGAACTGAGCATCGGGGATGCTGGTTGCTATGGGAAGAATATGCTGAAATACAGTGCAGTTTTGTTGATGGGGTGGTGTTGTGTGTTTAATTATTGGAAAAATTTATTGAAAATTGACCAATGCAATTAAATTTCTTAGTGTTGCGGAACTTAGCACCAGAAATAATCATTTTCCAACTGTAAAGCTAATGTCTTAGCCCTCTCAAAAAACTTGGAGATGATTCTGAGTCCGTGAGGGTTTTCCTGGGGCTGTTATAATTAATAACCCAAAACAAACAGACTGAAATAAAAAACTTCCACCCCTCCCCCAGCCCTGGAGGGCAAAGGGCTGAGACCAGTGGTCACAAGGAGGAGCTCCCTCCACAGGATCCAGGGAGGCTCCTGCCTGCCTCTCCCAGCTCCTGGGGCTCCAGGTGGCCCCATGATTCCAGTCTCTGCCTCTGTCTCCATGTGGCTCCATCTCTGTGACTGTGTCCTCTCTTCTGTCTCTTGTGTGGACACTGCCATTGCATAAGGGCCCCCTGACCCAGAAGCAACCCATCTCAGGACCTTTCACTAACGACCTGTGCAGAGACCCTGTTTCCACACAAGATCCCACTCAGGGGTTCTAAGGGCCAGATGTGGACAGGACCCACCTCTTACAATGGTGTCCAGCTCCCTCCACAGGCTCCACGGAAGCTCCTTCCTGCCTCTCCCAGCTCCTGAAGCTCCAGGTGGCCCTTGGAAGAACAATGTGGTGGCCTCTCAAAAGCTTAGGATTGAATCACAATATGACCCAGCAATGCCACTGCTGTGTTTGGACCAAAAAGATTTGAAAGCTATGGGTGCAAAAGACATTTGCATATCTTGAGTTCACAGAAACCCTGATCCCCAGTATGACTGGGGACTAGGGAAAAAATTATGTCTTAGTGGGGTGTGGGGGAGACAGGGCCAAAATGGGGCCAAAAGAGATGGTCTCAGTGGGGGACTTTGAAGGCCAAAGGATCTTAGAAAGTGCGGCGAATTTTTTTATTTTGGCTAAACTGTGTACGTGATGTCATATATGCTTGAAGAACTGTACTCTGTTCTGAGCCCTTTATTCTCAGGAATAGCAAATCACTATCATTACTCAAATCCATCAGCATGCATCTGTGTATATATCTATCCATCTGTCTATCTACCAGCCATTCCTGCTTCCACCCATCTGCCCATTTTCTCTCCCATGCATCATGGATTTGTGTATTTGCCCACCCATCTACCCATTCATCCAGCCATCCATTCAGACATACATACATCTTCCCATCAGTCCATGCATCCTCCCACCCATTCACCCATCCTTCCATTCATCCAGGGGCAATTGGGCACTTCATCACATCCCCAACCCTGTTTTGTATTTTATTTAGACTCAGGATCTCACTGAGTTGCTTAGCACCCTATTTTGGTGATGCTGGCTTGAGCAAGCAATCCTCCTGTCTCAGCCTCCTGAGAGGCTGGGATTACAGTCCTGCACCACCATGCTTGTACTTCTTATTTCCTCATTAGTCTGATAACAGGTTGGAGTCACCATCTGGGGTTATTTTCTCAGATCCATCACAGTTATGCTCCCACCCACCTTCTTTGAATCACAATGAAAAGGGGGACTGGGGATGTAGCTCAGTGCTAAAGCGCCCACACCCTCAATTCAATCTCGACATGGGGGACAATAAAAGCACGTGGAACTCAATTCTCAGCTCTGGGCAGCTATGTGCCCACATTTCCACACTTTTTACATAAGATCCCCCCTTGTCCATGGACAATATTGTTAGGTAGAATGAATGTGATGCACTGTGCAGGATGTGAAAGACTTCAAAAAGTCCAACTTAAGAGAAGAATATAAAATTGTATTTACTTTCCATTATAGGAGCTAATATGACAGGCTGTATTGGCCCCAAGTGGCACATTTTTATGGTTTATATGCGGGCTTTCTTGCAGAGCTGAGCAGGGTTATTATTTCTTTCTGGTTTGACTATCAGTTGAAACCCAGGAAGCTGAGAGCCCTGGGTCAGCTTCTGGGGGTACATTGCTTCCTAGGCAGGATGCAGATGTGCTTGTGGCTTTTCCTGAAAATGTTGGTGCATCTGAAACCTTGACATGGAAAGAGTTCACAAAGGGGGACTTTATACTGAGAGAAAATAATGAGGTCAGTCTGTGCAATAGAATGACATGTTTCAAGGAGGCAAATGAGCTTGAGCTCACAGACATGTTATGAGACTACAGATGCCTGAAGTCTAACCTAATACAACTTTACATATTATAATATTATTTGCATATCATCTACTGCAATAATAATACGATATTATTCTTTTCCAATAAATACTAACTCCTACATACAATTTCCCCTATACATTCATGACAATGATTTCCCTTTCTAGAAAATCTCACAGCCCTTGTCAGCACCTAAACACAGGGTAAGACAGAGTTTCCTTGTCTCCCTGGTGTAGCTGCACTGGTCAAAGTTCCTTTCCTGCTTTCAATCAACACCTTTTCTTTTTGATTTTAGGGCAAACAGCTGAGCAGACTTGTGGGATCAGCCGAGTCAGGTCTGTACATAAGAATTGATAATAGTAGAATGTAGACTATCTACATTGAGCACAAGGTGCCCATTTTATTTCCCCTGCACATTGCTGTTTGAGAGGGTTGCCTGCCTCCCCCCACCCCACCCCTTTCTCTGCTGGAGATGGAACCCTGAGCCACATCCAGGGAGTCCTGAAGGATGAGTGGCGTCGGCGAAAAGATGAGACAGGAGTCGTTCTGTTCGAGCAATCTCCAGAGAGAGAGCTCTAATGCAGCTTTCTCTGGGTCATCTTTTATTTCAATTTTTCTCATCATTATAGATTCAGAATACGTCATTGATTATAGAATTTAAAACTTTGCCAAGACATGACATTTTCTTAACCATGATTGGGGGTACAAAAAATGTAACATTAATTTACATTTTTCCAGGATATGACCTTCAGTTATGTAATTATTAAAAGTACAGAATCATTAATAAAATACATCACTAATTTACATTTTTCAGATTTTCCCAAGATTTACTATTTTTCCCAAGATATGTTATTTTCTTATTAACTAGTGCCAGACTACGTAATCAGACTCTAAGTCTCCTAACCAATCATTAAGCTAAAGTACACTTGTACTTTATTTCTAATCTAAAATTTCCATCTAAAAAAGTCCCTTTAAATCTTACATTTAAAATATTCTAAAGTTTATGAATCATTCTTAAAATATATCAGAAACCTATACAACTAAAAACTTAAGAATTTCTAAACTTAAGAATCTAAATAAAATAATATTTTTTAACATTATTATAAAACTGTGTCTTATAAAGCTAATTTAATTAATTCCTAAATTTATTCTCATAAAACTGGTTGAGCTGCTTTCTCAAAGAGTTTCTTTGTTTCTCAGTCAAGGTGCACTAGTTCTCATATCTTTATAATCTTTTTCAATAGATAATAAGTTCTAAAAATAAATCCACTTTCCACCAATATTAACTATGCTCATCATATATCCCTATGTAAAGTAAAAAAGAGTTTATAAAAAGAGAAGAATATACTTTTATATGTTTTAACTTTCTTAAATGTAAAAATGAGACTACATGTGGTGAACTTTGTAAAATAAGCATAATGATTAGATTTTCTAAGAGGCCGGAAATATGGGCTTGGGTTCTAGTTGATATAATCAATGTGGTGCCTAAAATTCTCATGACCTTTCAAAGTATGATTGTTGTCCTTTATCAGGTTTGTCCACAATGTACTGAGATAGAAGGACAGCCTTCTACTTTGTCCTTGATATGCTGAGGGGCAGTAGAACAGCCTTCAAGGCATGAACTACCTGTTATGCTCTAGCCATCTGAAATTTAATTTGTTTGGCATTTAACATACTCATGCCTCCTGTCAGAAACATAAGCATGAAAATGAAAAGTCCCAATTACATAAAAAAGGGTCTCATGGTTTCGGTTACTCATCAACCAGCGTGGCTTTGCCAGCATTCATCCTCACTGTGACCCTGTCAAGACAGTGGGAGAGCAGCTTTGCCAACACTTTTTCTCACTGTGACCCTGTCAAGACAGTGAGTGGGGGATCGCCTTCACCATGCCTCCTCAAAACAGCAGAGGCTAGGAGGTAATGAGATTTACTAAAATAATTTTCAAATTGTTTTCATTAGTAGATATCATATGTATATGTAATATATATGATAGATTTAAAGAGTGTTTCAAAAATATGGAGACCGTGTCTTTCTTTCTAATATATATACATATAAAATAAACCCAGTGGGGCTTGACCTGGACCACTGAGCTACATCCAACCTTTTTCATTTTATTTTAAGACAGGGTCTCTCGGGGCTGCGGTTGTACCTCAGTGGTAGAATGCCTGCCTCACACACATGAGGCACTGGGTTCGATCCTTAGCACCACATAAAAAGAAAGAAATAAAGATTGTATTATCTACAACTTAAAAAAAAA